ATTATATATAAAAAGTTATATATATTTTTTATAAAAAAAAAAATGTTTACATTTGATTATACACTATATATATATATATATATATATATATACCTAAATATATAAAAATATTTTAATCTTAATTAAGTATTTTAAAAAATTTATAACATAGGCTAAAAAATTATTATTATTATATTATTATTATTATTATTATTATTATTATATATATATATATATATATATATATTATAAAAAAATTGTTTACATTTTATTATAACTATATACCGTATATACTGTATAATAATATAATAATAATATAATAATAATATAATAATAATATAATAATATATATTCAATAATATATATATATATATATACCTGGCTTCTAATGAATTATTTATTGGTAGAAAATAATTTAAAAAATTTGAATCATTATACTCTAGAATACCGATTAAATAATGTCCAAACAATACATTTAGTTGACAAACAACACGTATTCCGTTCAAAACACGTGTTTTATTATTATTATTAATATTATTATTATTGATTTTAGTATTATTGTTGTTGAATATGTTGAACACTACTCGCAAATTTTCAATTAATGAAAAACATAAAACAATTGATGTATACTTTTTATATATACTACTATTACGTTTATATAGATGCAATAATGTAGCACCTAGTACAATTACTAGCCATACAATTAAAAATGTTAACAATATATACAGGTCATACATTTTTGTTTTGTTTTGTTAATTAATTAATTAATTATTTATTTTATTTTTTTTTTGATTCATATAGTTTTAATAAGTAATAAGTTTTAATATTAGTCATAAAATACTAATAAAATTATTACTAAACTACTACTACTACTACTACTAATAAATTAATGATAGTTATGAAACTTTTTTTTTATGAAAAAATTTAATATAATATATCAAAAAACTATTTCAATATGTTTTTTTTTTTGAATTTATTTATTTGTTTACAACACCAATAAAAAAATAAGTAGAAATTTTAATTAATTTTTTTTTATATACATAGTTAGTAACACTTTTAGACTAAAATAATGTGAAAACATATACAGGTATATACTGTACTTTGTATGTATTAAATAAATTTAAATAAATTTAAATAGATTAAAAACTTTTTTTTGTAATTATGTAACTTATATACAGTATATATATATATATTAAATATTTTAATCAATTAATGTACAGATGTTTTCATGTATACAAATGTCTACTATTATATATATATATATATATATATATATATATATACTGTATATATAATGGGCGCCTGTAGCTCAATAGTTTAACATTTTAATAAATAATTATTTTATTTTATTTTATAGTTATTAAAAGTACAATGATATTTTTATTTTATTTTTTTAAATTAATTTTTATTTGTTTGTAATAATCTTAAATTACTAGTGGTGTTAATTAAAAAAAAATAAATTAATAGATAACACTATTAATAATTAAAATTAAAAAAATAAATTTTGCAATCAAATAAAATTTAATTTAAAAAAAAATATTTTTTATTAAATATGTTTTTTGCTATCAATTGCTGTAATTTAATAACAGGTATTTCGAGTATAGCTGTCAATGGTATACATATTGTATAGCAACTGATTATACATATACAGGCATACAATATGATGACATCAATTGGTTGGCCATATAGTACCAGATCGGGTAATTGATCTAGTACAGTCGGATAGATAATATAATGACCCAGATAAACCAGTTGTATAGTCGATCGCATTGGTTTCCAATAGCTTGAGGCTAGAAATCTATGCCTATAACTACCAGTGCTTGTCATCAGCAAACCTAACAGTCCATAGCTTAGCATAATTGTTGTCAGCAGTTCATAGACTGCTGCATCCATGGATGTTAGATATAGATCCCATTCAATTGATCCCATAGTATGTTTGTTTAGTCCAATGGTAACCGTACATATCCATAGTATTAGAGTAATTACCATGATCAATTTTTGATGATTACCATGATGATGATTTTTATAGATTTTTATATACAAACGTTGGCCATTATTGTCATCAATCAAATAGCCCAACAATAGTCCAGTAGTAAATGGTATACAATATTTTAATGGCATAAAATGTAGATAAAGGTTTATGGTAATTTTGTTGCTAATTTTTAAATTTAAAAAAAAAATTAATAATAGTTGTATAGATATAATAAATATTAGATATTTTTTTTATTTTTTAAATTTTTTAATTATATATATATACAGTAATATATATATATAGTTATAATTACCTGATTATATGTATGGGTAGTCTAGTAGTATTTGAACCATTGAATAGGCTAACTGATCGATGATTTTGACTAAATGATATCGATAATATTTGCCAAAAACAATATAGATTAGCCAGTACAATTACCCAGATGCCCAATTTATAGTGCCTATATAAATGATAATAATAATAATACATATATTATATAAAATATAGTTTTTTTTAAATATATATAATGAGATTATAGTTTTACCGTTTGAAACACATGGCAATTATTGGCGTAAATATTATATAATAAACTAATACATTGTTATACCAAACAGCTGAGTGACACTAAATATATATATATATATATATATAGAAATAAATATTTAAAAAAAATTATAGTAATTATATTACAATATTAATAATAATAATAATAATAATAAATAATAATAAATAATAATAACAGTAAAAACTGTTTAGAAATTTATTTCAGAAATTATAAATAATTATTTTTTAAGTTTAATTATTCATATATTTATCTAAACATTACTACTATATTAAACTATAAATATTGTGTTTATTTTTTTAAGTGAATATGATTTATAATTAGTACTGTATAAATAAATATACTGGGTATATTATATTAAAAATAGTATTGTAAGTTAAATAAAAAAAATATTATAATAATTATTATAATTATATAAAATATTGATATTTCTATATTTAAATTTTTAATTTACCTGGATTAAGCAATAGTATTTTTTACATATATAAAAAATATATATATTTAGTATATATATATATATATATATATATATAGTAGTAGTAGTAGTAGTAGTAGTAGTAATAGTAGAAATAATAATAATAATAATTGAAAAATACTTAAATCTTTAGTTTTAGTTAAAAAGTTTTAGGTTTTAATAAAAATATTAATGATTTTTATTGTTTATTTTTTCCTAATATTAAAATTACAACATTTTTTTTTGATTATATTATTTAGTTGTAATTATAATATAATATAATAAAAATAATAATTATTTTTATTTTTATCAAAAAAAATAAATAATAAAAAATAATTACCAGTTTAAGTGGCTTATCAATCAGTGCATAGTTAAACAATATTAAATTATAGCCATCATTTGATAGACAACTGTCCACTAGTTGTCTATCATAGAAACGATCGGGTATTAGATATTTTAGATAAACTTTATAACAGCAAACAAATAGGTAATAAATGGGTAATAATCGGCTGAATCGGGCAAAATAAAACAGTAGACATTGTTTCAGAGGTCCGGCACCGGGATATAGTTTCTGATAGTCAATAAACCAGGTCATACACGACATACCGTTTATGATCATCATTGTGGCCATTATTATACGAAAATATGATACCGACAAATAGCTTATATATATATAATAATCAATAAAAAATATTAATTATTAAAAGTTAGCAAGCTAGTTTATAATAATATTAATTATTAAATGTTAGCATGCTAGTATAAAACAATAATAATTAATTTTATTGATAATAATGTTATTAGTATACTATACCTAATTACTAATGAATTATTTAATGGTAAAAAATATTGATAATAATTATTTTGATTATACATTAAAATAAAGGCAACAAAATGTATTAATAACATATTTAGTTGAATAAAAATACGTATTCCGTGCAAAACACGTGTTTTATTATTGGTATTATTATTATTATTATTGGATATTTTGAACATTGAAATATTTGCTATTAATGAAAAACATAAAACAATTGATGTATACTTTTTATATATACTACTATTAGTTTTATATAGATGCAATAAACTAGCACCTAGTACAATTACTAGCCATAGTAATAAAAATATTATCAATATATACAGGTCATACATTTTATTTATTTATTTATTAAATATTTATTTTTAGTTCATATAGTTTTAATAAGTAAATTATAAATATACAGTTATATAGGTATATGTTTATGTATGTATGTATCTTGTGTGTGTATGTATGTGTGTATGTGTATATGTTTGTGTGTGTATGTGTGTGTATGTATGTATGTGTATATGTTTGTATGTGTATGTATGTGTATGTATGTGTATGTATGTGTGTATGTATGTGTATATGTTTGTATGTGTATGTATGTGTGTGTGTGTGTGTGTGTGTGTGTGTGTGTGTGTGTGTGTATGTATGTGTGTGTGTGTGTGTGTGTGTGTGTGTGTGTGTGTGTGTGTATGTAACACTATGTATATGTGTTTATCAAATCATAAATATTTTTTAAATGCAATATATTTGTGTCCATCTGTTGAAACTAATTAGATATATATTTTATTGCATAAAATATTACATAATTAATTGATAAACATTATAATTAAATTATATAAAATAGTTTTAGTTATTAAACTAATAGTTTAGTAAAAAAAAATTGAATTTAGTAGTAGTAGTAGTAGTAGTAGTAGTAGTAGTAGTAGTAGTAGTAGTAGTAGTAGTAGTAGTAGTTGTTGTTGTTGTTGTTGTTGTTGTAATAATTGAAAAATACTTAAATCGGAAGTTTTAGGTTTTTATAAAATTATTAATTATTTTTATTGTTTATTTTTTCCTAATATTAAAATTACAACAAATTTATAGATTATATTATTTAGTTGTAATTATAATATAATATATTAATAAAAAATAATAATACACTAAAAAAATCAGTAAAAATCATTAAAAAAAAAATTATTATTTTATTTTATTTATAATTATAATTACTATATAGCTATCGATATATATATGTGTGCTAAGTGTGGTATAGCCTATGATATCGATCGCTGTTTGTATTGGTCCGGTACATACCGCCTAAAAAATACAGTAAACCCCGTATGAATTGTCGGGCACCTGGACTTAACGGTTGGCCACCATTGCATTGTTCCCAATCCCGTACCAATTCAATGATTTTCCCGTCCAATTTATCAAACAATTCAACAATAATCAACTGGGCCTCACTGATTGAACACTGCCTATCAATGGCAGTCATGGCCACAATGTTGGACATCTGGGCCAATGCATGTCTGTCCCTATCGGTGCCGTCAATGATAGTAGTAGTCATGTCCGCACTTATAGCTAATAACTCTTTTTCAAATGAAAACAAATCGTTTGAACAGATCATATGGTCTTTGGTTAGCTCAAGTAGTTGTTGCATACGTGGATCCAACCAATCGCGCTCAGGTAGCTCCAGATTGTTGTTGTCATTGTCATCGTCATCGTCAGCATCGGTATACATAATAATCATTGTTGTAATCAATGTGCCTATAGTTTGACGGCGAATCTATTGATAATAATAATAATACAATAGTTACTATAAACTGTGAAACTATAAAGTGTTGTATAATAGCACCCACCCCTCCTATACTACCTAACTATCTAAACAATAACTTTTTTTTAAAAAAAAACTTAAGCTTAAACACTATATACACAAATCTATACAATACCCGGGTATATTTAAAATAAAAATATTTAATTAATTTTTAATTTTTTTTTAAATAACTAATATATTTTAGTATTATACATATATTATATCAGGGTTAAACAAATTTTGGATTTTAGCGGGTGGGGATCTAGGGTGGAGTACTTACAAAATTCTCGGAAAATATTCGGGGGGGGAATGGTGTCTAGGGTGGGGTGTAGACTTTTATTGCCCATTTTTAGACGGCAATTTTTGCCAAATTTGAGTAAAATCCCTATAAATTCCCTATAAATTCCCAATAAATTACCAATAAATTCCCAGTAAATTCCCTATAAATACCCAGTAAATTCCCATTAAATTCCCAATAAATTACCAATAAATTCCCAGTAAATTCCCAATAAATTCCCAATAAATTCCCAATAAATTCCCAATAAATTCCCTATAAATTCCCTATAAATTCCCTATAAATTCCCTATAAATTCCCTATAAATTCCCAGTAAATTCCCAATAAATTCTCTAATTCCCATATATATAGGTGTGTATAATACCCGCCAAAACTCGTCCAACGAACCGAACCGTCCGTTTTCGGCTATTACAGCATTACTGGCGACATTACCGTCCGCGTAGTCTATCCAGGCGTCGACAAACCTCTGCCACTGTTGACCACTGAATCGGCTGTAAATATCGGCAAATGTTGGCCTAATTTGCCGAACATATGGTTCCAAGCCTTCGATGACAGGAGTAGTAGTAGTATTGTCCTGTTGTTGTTGGCAGTGGTCAGTATCGGCGCTAATATCGGCCAATAGACAGGGCATCTGTGCGAAAACACGCCTACAATCGTCCATATGATCCGTATTCAACAGACCCCACGGTTCCTCAGTATTGTCGTCCAAAATAAACAAATAGATAATATGCTGTAATGCGTGATAGTATCTGACCCGTGACCGACAGTTCGGGTACAAGTAGGCCGTATAGACCGTCGAAATGTTGACGATTTTTGCAAATTTTTCATCGGATGTCCGACTAGTGGCGAACTGTCCGTATGACCACTCGTTCAGTTCAGCCGCGTCTATAGTAATGTCCAGCCGATTACGTTTGATCGGCAATCGGGTCGTAAATTTCGGTACCGGATATCTGTGCGGGTATTGGCGTAACTGTTTGTCGCATTTGTTTAGTATTTTTAGTTTATTTTTATCGATAGTAGTAGTAGTAGTAGTCATTGTTTAATATAATTTGAGATATTTTTTTATTTATATATATATTTTTTAGAAAATAAAATTATTTAAATATATATATAAAAGTTTAATAACATATAATTATTAATATAATAACATATAATAACAACAAAAAAATAATATAATTATGTTTTTTTTAAACAACTTTTGTTAAAATATTAATTAGAAAAAAAACAATTAAAAATTATTTGATGGCATATATGATAAATTTTATTTTAAAATTATGTTTTACAAAATTTATTAAGTTTGTTTTACTAAAGTTTTTTATTTAAATTGTTTATATATAAGAAACAAGTATTTATTTTAATTAATTTTTTAAAAAATATATTGAAAATATTTTTATTTTGTTATTTTTATTACGATGATAATTAAATTATTATATTAAATATTATAATGATTTAACAAATTAATCAAAATAAATAAAAAGTAGTTATCAGGAAATTTTCAAAAAAAAACTTTACATAAAAATCAAAGTAAAGTTTTATTTATATATATATATATAATATTTTTTTTAAAAAATATCTGACAAAACCTTTATTTTTTTTAAAATATATATTTTTAATAAAAAATTTTATATACGCAATTTTTATAAAAATTTATTTGTCAAATCATCAATATCAAAAAATTAAAAAAAATAATATTATATACAAATTATTATTATTATTATTATTATTACATAGGTGCATTTTTGAAATTGTAATAATATATTTTAAATAATAATAATAATTAACAATTTTTTAGTTATTTAGTTTTTTTTGTGTTATTTTCCAAATAAATAGCTATTAGATAGTGTGGAAAAAAACTTTATTAAATTATTTTTTTATACAAAAAAAAAACTAAATAAAATACACAAAAAAAAATAAATTTCAAAAATTATCCATATACCTCTATCTATACCGGTATATATATATTTTAAAAATTTATAATAATAAAATTAATGTTTTAGTAATAATAATAAAATATTTATAATACTATTATTAATTACTATTGTAATATATTTTTTTATTAATTCAAATTTAGCGCTCCCCTGTAAAAACGTTTACACACACTGTACACTAAATGTATTATTATTACACTATTTTTTATAATTACAAAATGCAACCAAATGTATAGACAGTCAATGCTATGCTATTGCTATGCATGTAAAGTCAAACTTACAGGAGGCGCTCTACACAACATTGCATAACAAGTAATATACGTTATGTACTATCTATGACTAATATATACTGTGTATTATTAACATATACTGAATGTATGATTTCAATAGTGACTATACAAACAATACGCGCGTTATGTTTGGCTGTTATTGTATATGTTATATATGTATAGATAGAGAGAGAGAGAGAGAGTCTTAAAAAGCGGCGGCGGCGGCGATGCTATTAAATTACAATTATCTGATATAAACAAAAGTGACCATGTTGTTAGATAATTAAATATACTGGATAAAATTATAATTGATCATTTTTTAAAAAAATAATCAATTATATGCGCCAGATAATTTACAGTCGACTATCTTTTTTTTTTATAAATTTTGTTAAAAACTATTATCTGGCAAATAATACAATTAATTTTTTTTTTAAATGACCAATTACAATTTTATCCATTATATATATATAATTATCTTAGCAACATTGTTCATACCTTGATAACTTATTGTTTAATTTAAATATATTGTTGATATCAGATAATTGTAATTTAATAGCATAGCCGCCGCCGCCGCTGCCGTCGCTATTTAAGACTGTCTATTATTATGTATACGTTATATACAGTAATACTAAACAATGTTTATATCATATAATGTTATTTTGAATTCAATATTCAAAAAAAATGTTATATTAATTGTAATATCAATTGAATGACTGATTTGTGTTTAATAATTATAAATCAATAGTTAATTAATTAATTAAAACATTTTTTAATTATTATTATTATTATTATTATTATTATTGAATCAATCAATTGATTTGATGATCAAATCGGAGCCACCGATTGTCGGCCAATTAGTGTCGGCCGAAGCGGCGGTCTTTGTTGACCATCACTTGTTGCCGACAACGACCGTTAAAAGTGAGACAAATCCGATGCCGAGGACAACAACAGCGGCGGCAACTATGAGGACAAAACAGATGTCCACCGCTGACCAGTCGTTACCGATTAAGCCGATGTTGTTGACGAAGAGGAAGAAAAAAGCGGCGATAGAGAGGAAAAAGTTGGTGATATCGTCGTCGAGCAGCGGTTCCGATAGCGATGACATGACTACCGCCGCCGATGATACCGTCATCAATGGCCACCATAACCACCAACAACAACAACAACGACTGTCACCACCCGAAGATCAGCCAATGAAGTCGTCGTCGTCGATATTCAGATCAAAGGCCAACGGTTTTCACGAGCTATTGAATCGGCGAAACAAGTTGACCAACGATTCAGTGTTTACGGCACCCGTCGACTATGCAGAAGTGGACGCGGCGTTTAACAACTCCAGCTCAATGGTCACTACGTCAACTGTCAAGACCGCCGCCACCACTCGTGCCGATTGTGAACTTCAGGAAGTGATGTCTATAATCGATGAGCTGAACACCACTACCACAACCAGCGGTAACAGTGGCGGCGGCGGCGGAAGCAGTAGCAGCAGCGGTAGTGATGAAAACAATGCCAAACGCGGTGGTGGTCGGCGTAGTCGTCGTACTAACGGTGATAACAACGCCAAAAGCGGTGGTCGGCGTCGGCGTAGTCGTCGTACTAATTGCTACCAACAGTCGTCTTCGCCCAATGATATTGAAGAGTTGTTATTGGTTGAGGACGGCTATGATGTGGATTGCGTTAAACCTAGAACTAGATCCCAAACAGGACGACCCAAACGTGGCCGAGGAGGCGGTGGTGGTGGCGGCAAAAGGGCTACCACTGCTACTGGCAAAACAAAAAAGCGACGATCCAATGGTCGAGGCCGACGAAAGAGTGGTCAGATGGATGCGGAAGCAATTTTCAATAAATTAGATCAAATGGAAAACAAAGACAATAGTATTAACAACATAAGTGATAGTCAATCGGCGGTATCGTCGACGACAACGACAGCGACCACAACGATGAACAACAGTTACGAAGCACTGGAACAGTACAAGTTGTGCCGTGAATTTGAATTGAAAATCAAATACAAATCGGTTGTACACAAGTTTCCGATACCGTACAGCACTAGGTTTGCCGATGTTATGCCACGATTGGCCGACCGAGTGGGCGTCGATGTCGGCCAACTGATCCTGAAGTTTCAGAATCAGATTATCAACGCTGACGATACACCCCATGGGTTAGGTCTAGATATTGCACATATTATCCAGTGTTTCAAACGGACCATCACCTGTACTACTACCAGTACAACCGTTACCTCTACTACTAATACTACCGGTGATGATGGCATCGGTGCTAAAGATCCTAATTTATTGACATTGAAACTGAGGGATAAAAATATGAGACAACCGGTTGATATACAGGTATCAAAGTTTGATAAAGTTAGCAAAATTGTCGAACTATTTGCCCGTTTTAAACAAATATCGGCCGATCGGATCGGACTACGGCTGGACGGCGATCCTATGACCATCGGTACAACAATTGCCGATTACGATGATCTCGAAGACGAGTCGCAAATCGATGTCATCTATAATTCGTAACCATTTTTTTTTTCAATAGAGAGAGAGAGAAATTGATAGAAAATTTTGATTATTTATTATGAATTATTAGTTTATTATTGATTTGAAATAATAGTATAATTATATAATAATAATAATAATAATACCTATAATAATGTAAAATACTTTTTCATACACTTTTTTATATATATATATTTTTTATACAATTTGATACAAACATATATAAAAAAAAGTTAATACAATAATACAAAAACAATATATGATTTAATAATAATATTAATATGTATTTAAAAAGTGTTATTTAATAATGATTATTATTATTATAAATATAAATATTTTTTATACTTAAATATTGAATTTTTTTATTTGATAAGAAAATATTAGTTGAAATGAAAATATGAAAATAAAATTTTGTTAATATTGTTGTTAATAAATGTAAAATTTTTTGTTTAATATAATGATAAATATATTTTTATAAAATTTTTGTTATAAATCAAACACACTTTATAATGTACTTAAAAATATTTAAAAAAAATAAATAAATTTTCACAATACAATGTAAAAATATTTCATTTAGTAATTTAATAATAAATTAGCAAATATTTATGCAATATATACTTTTTAGATAAATAAAAATTATTGCATATATATTGGCAAATCTATTAATCAAATTTTATATTTATTAAAATACTATATTATATAATTATAATTTTTTTAAATATATAAAATTATCAAAAAATAAAAAATTATTGTAAAATTTATAGTAATAATAATTTTTTTAATTAATTAGTTTGTATATAAACTTGAATTATTAATATTACTTAATAAAACACTAGATAGCGATATATATATAATAAATTATTTATACAGGGTTAGGCATATAAGGCGCAAAAATATAAAAATTCATTATAAAAAAACTACATGAATTAAAAATCTGAAATAAATTTAATAATGTGAAAAAAAGACTAAAGTTTTGGTTAAAAATAATTTTAAAAATTAATAAAATAATATAAAGTACAAATTGATATTTTTAAAGATATGCATATTTTCATCTATGTATTAAATAATGAAAATATCAAATTTTCAATATTTTTTCAATAAAATCTTAATTTATCAGGCCTAATTTAATAATATAAATTTTTAAAATTTAAAAAAATTCATTAAATTACTTTAAACTTAAATTTTACATTATTCATGGTTATATATTTTTTTAAGTTTCATAAAAATCTAATTTTTATTTATTTTATTAAAAATCACTTTTACTAAACATATGACATACAATATAATTTAAATAGTTTATTTTTCAAATTTTAAAACACAAATTAAAAAATTGTGTTATTTATGAAAATGGTTTTTTTATTATTTAAATTTATTTTATCTTTACATTATTTTTTTAATAATTATTTTTTAAAATATTATTTAGAATACTAAAAATAATGTTTTTTGAAATTTTCATTTAATTTGCTACTCAAATATTTGATTTAAACTAATATTTATTTTTAATTTAATTCCTATTTTCTATAACTTTAAAATATTTTAAATTAGTCCAAAGTTTTAATTTATCTTCTATTAATTGTATTGAATAATATTCAATCGAAAATTAAATATTTATAATCGTAAAAATAAAAATAGAGCAGTTTTTAAAATTTTTAAAATTTTTTATTTATTATATATCTTTATATTTTTTAAAAAAATTATAATTAATTAAAATTAACTTAATTAGTAAAATTTGACTTGTGTTTGCTGTAATTCAACACAAACTTAAGTTGATTTTTGTGAAAGATTTACATGATAATCTTAGTTTTACTAATATTGTAGTCAGTTTTTCCACATACGGTATATTAAAATAAAAACACTATCATAAAAATTTTAAATTATTTTTATAAAAATATATATATAATTGATAAAAATAAATATGAAAATGACAGAGATATAGCGTTATTCTATTTTGCGGCATATATGCCTAACTCTGTACAAATGTACCGGGATACATTAAACAAATATAATAATTTATAATACTTTATTTATAATTTGATTATAATATAGTGTATAATAAATTTATAGTTAATTATTATTGTTATTATTATTATAGATATCAAGTTGAATATAATTATTAATAATTTGATTAAAAATTATAAAATTTAGTTATAAATATTAATTAAAATTTATAAAATGTTATTAAAACTCATTGAACCAAAAATAAAAAAATACATATATTTAGATTTATATTTAATAATAATTTTCTAATAATTTATTATTATATTTATTTATTTTATAATTTTTTTCAATAATAAATTACATAATAATTATAAATTAATTATTAATAATAATAGTAAATTCTTTTAAAAATTATGATTGTTTTGTTATAAAAAAATTTTTTTTAAGTAATCTGATAATGATGTTTAAATTTTAAAAAAATAATAATTATAATATTGTTTAAAGTGTTTTTAAGTTATTTAATAATTGTTTTTAAACATAAATTTTTTTAAAAAAAATTAATAATATTTAGCTAGCCAATTTTAGTACATTAGTACATACACTTACATTTATTATTAAAGTATTTTTTTAAAACAATTTTTTCAAGTATTTTTTGTTAAATATATTATATATTAATATAATAAAAAAATTGTTTTGTTTAGTAGTTGAATGATACTTAAATTATTATATTATAATAAGTTTTTTATTTTATTTTATTTAAATAATAAATTATTGTTTTTTTTATACTAGTATATCATATGATGATAACTACCGCCACCAGACATTGCAATAGTAGTAGTAGTAATTATTTTCAATGGGGTTAAAGCACACACACACACACACACACACACACACACACACACACACACACACACACACACACACACACATACATACATACATACATACATACATACACACACATACATACACACACATACATACACACACATACATACATACACACACAAACAAACAGACATACACACACATACTCACACATACATGCATATACACAAACACATATATACATACACACACATACTCACACATACACATACATACACACACATATACATACACACACACATATACATACACACACATATACATACACACACATATATATACATACACACACACACACACACACACTGCTAATAATGTATTATTATTATAATAAATACATTGAAGTTCAGCCTTTGAAAAAGCCAAGGTCTATGACATACACTCTGGTATTTACGTAAATATCAAATACAACATGTATTACACATAAATAGCTTTTATATATTAATATAATAATATAATACAGTATATACTGTATATAAAAAAGTACTTTAGTTTAGTGTATAATAAAGTTTTACTTTTATTCTCTCTCTCTCTCTCTCTCCGATTAACATTGAAATAAAAAAAAAATAATATATATTTTATTTTCAATACTTATGTGGTGGATGTCCTCCAATGCAAATATTACTTAAATTATAAAACATTTTTTTTATTAAAATTTTATTATTATTGGTTTTAATCGCTGAATGATTACGTGTGTGTGTGTGTGTGTGTGTGTGTGTGTGTCTATGACTGTGTGTTACAGGTATTTACCAGTTTATATCCAATGGTTACACAAATAAAAGTTATTGAATAATTTTTTTTGTGGTTTTTATTTCAAATTTATTTTATTGACCATCAAATCACATGTCAATTACCGGTGCTGTCTCTCTCTCTCTCTCAATATTATTACCTCAACAATGATTGACTTACACACACACACACACACACACACACACACACACACACACACACACACACACACATACACGTCATAGACTTATTATTATATAAAAATCATTGAAGTAAATGTGTTTTATATTTAAATATATATACATATAAATTAAATTATAAACTATTTTATTAAATTTATTTTTTTTGTTGGTTTTTTTGTTTTGTTTTTTCAAATAATGCTTTTTGTTATTACAATTATTGAATACTAATTTTAGCTCAAAAAAACCTATAAAATTATTTGATTAATAAAATAGATAATAATAGAAATAATAATAAAATTTTTACCAATAATTTATCGATTGAATGGCAAAGAAAACAATATTTTTTTATTGTAATAAAAATAATTATTTTCATAAACTACTGTATATTTATTTTTTATAATTAAATCAAACATTTACTTTAATACTATAAAATAATAAAATATTATATATATATATATATATAGATTTATGTAATATAAATATTTAAAAAAAAAATTATTTTAGTTTATTGCTATTATTATAATATTATTAACTGTATATACAGTATATTTATTTAATGATAAAAATAGATTATATATAAATTCAATTCATAAAACATTAAAACAATTTTTTTATTTATGACATTATATTTATGATAATTTTTGTTTCTATAGAATATTCTTAATATGACATAATGTATAGAAAATTATATGATAATTGTATTATAATATTTAGAATATATTTAGATTATTATTATTAATATTAGACATTAATTTTATTTTTTTTCTCTATAATATTCAATAACATAATTAATAATTCTGGTCATAACCCAGGTATGTGAGTGAGTATGTGTGWGTGTRTGTRTGTGTGTGTGTGTGTGTGTGTGTGTGTGTGTGTGTGTGTGTGTGTGTGTGTGTGTGTGTGTGTGTGTGTGTGTGTGTGTGTGTGTGTGTGTGTGTGTGTGTGTGTGTGTGTGTGTGTGTGTGTGTGTGTGTGTGTGTGTGTGTGTGTGTGTGTGTGTGTGTGTGTGTGTGTGTGTGTGTGTGTGTGTGTGTGTGTGTGTGTGTGTGTGTGTGTGTGTGTGTGTGTGTGTGTGTGTGTGTGTGTGTGTGTGTGTGTGTGTGTGTGTGTGTGTGTGTGTGTGTGTGTGTGTGTGTGTGTGTGTGTGTGTGTGTGTGTGTGTGTGTGTGTGTGTGTGTGTGTGTGTGTGTGTGTGTGTGTGTGTGTGTGTGTGTGTGTGTGTGTGTGTGTGTGTGTGTGTGTGTGTGTGTGTGTGTGTGTGTGTGTGTGTGTGTGTGTGTGTGTGTGTGAGTGACTGTTTGGCTACAG